AAGGAAGGAAGGAAGGAAGGAAGGAAGGAAAATACAAAAGTGCAAAAAGAAAAGATAAAAAGAAATAGAAAAAAGGTTCCCATTTTCTTTGCAGCAAAGTATGATTACAAAATTCTCTCTTACTCTATGATTACAAAAAGAAAAGTGCTCTTTTTTCTGTTAACTAGATTTCTTTTTTTAATCATCCAAACCACAAATCATGAGTTCATTTTTTTCTGTTTCATGCAAAAAGTCTATAAGGGGTTTAGAAATGATCAATAAATAATTTGTCAGCTTAAAATGTAATATGCTTCTCACAAGCCTCATTGGCAGGATTCACACTTACATTTGGCTTGGCAGGTTGTGATATTGTGATTTGTAAGCCGTAGTTTATGGCTGGCTTGTCTGAACCTAGTCAGTTGTGATTGATTCACTGTAAATGTGGTAGATGATGGTTTAATGTGCGTAATTCCAGCCGATGAGTTCCTTTACTCCTAAGTAAGCATTGATAACAGTTGTACGAGTTTGAACACAGATTTAATTTCTTGTTGGAAGTGGTGGTAGTAAGATAACAAAGAATTTCTTGTTGATTGAACCATCCTGTATTTGCATTAATAACATTTAGACTTTAAACTTTATTAACTTGTGCTCATTTTGTTTGAAATATGAATAATCCGAATAGCTCTTTAATGTAGTTGCCGTTTACAATGAAAGAGAGAGGTTATTGTCATTCAGTCTTATTTCCTAACTAACTGCTTTTTAAGACCGCAGAATTTGCAAAGTGAAAACAATATAAAAACAACCAAATGCTAAGCACTGTTATAGAAATCGTTTTAGCTCATTTTCACAGTTTTCTTAAGCAATATTTTCAATTTTATACACTGTTAGGAAGAAGAAAAACTTATCCACCAGGAATTAAATAATTTAAAAGCCACTGTTTCTGCACCCACTACAACTCTCGTAAGTTTTAAAAACAAAACAAAATGTAATTATTCTTCTTCTCTCTACAGGCCAGTGTTGGTCGTTGTAAAGCTGCTATCAGCTTTACAATGACCAGATCATACTCATTTTTTTTCCTGTCAACTCTATGTTTCAGACTAAATTTGCATGTAGGTAACTGGTAAAATGCGGCCCCCAAAGGAACAAGCAAATTCATTGCTCATGGTACTCGTCTACTTCTGGATGACTCTTAGTAGTGAAGGGGTTGGGGTTAGGACTAGGGAGAGCCAGGTTCTAGTTGACCTCAACCATGGAGACTCATGAGTGACTTTAGGCCCTTCTCTCTCAGCCCAGCCTACTGTACAGGGCTGATGTGGGGATAAAATGAAGGGTTACCCCCACCTTCTATGCAAGCCATCTTAGATTTGTGGAGGAAAGGTGAGATATAAATTAAATAATAAAGACAGCAATACCTGATTGTTTTTAAAATGTTTTTCCATACTCCAGAAACTGATGAAGGAATGTATGGTGAGGCTGATCTACTGTGAGATGCTGGGCTATGAGGCCTCTTTTGGATATATCCACGCTATCAAGCTGGCACAGCAAGGCAATCTTTTTGAGAAAAGAGTTGGTAAGTATTTTCAGTCTGCCGCTGAATCACACCCTGTCTGTAATCTTCTGAGGCGGTGGGTGCCCTAAAATGAAATAAAGGCAGTAAAATTAAAAACGTATTGCTTGGACTCCCCACAAGACTTGGGTGGTCTCACCTCCAAGATCAACTACAAAGGCACTGAAATCTTGTAAGTCTGGAGCCATTTTTAATTCACTGATTTAATGTTATGGATTGATGGGCATTGCTGATCCCTAATTACATAATTCTGACTATTTGTATTTTGTGGTGGTATCTTGGGAGAAAAAAGCATTATGGCATTCCAGTTCAGTGCTTCTGGGAAGCTGGTAAACAGCCAGGAATGCCACCATCTTTCTCTGCTTTTGTTCCCCAAAAACTGGGAGCAAAAAAACTTATGGGAGTTTTTCCCCATAAGATAAAAGACAAATTAAAAAAAAAGAAAAAAAAACAGAAGAGTACTAGAAATAAAAAAGAAAGAAAATAAAGTTAAGGAATATATAAGTGACTTCCAACCTTCTTTACAACAGAGAATTACAATCTTATTGTCCTTGCTCTCTCTTAGATAATATATAAGTCCCTTCAGCCCCTCATTAATTGACATATTTCTTAATCTTCAAATCCAGAAATCATCGTATCTTTGTATCCTTTATGTTGATAAAATATGTTTTGGGCCTGCTATCTCCCAAGCCTTTACAGTATTCAGCTAGTGAGCTTCTTGGAGGGAGAGACATACGTTGTTCTTGCTATAAGCTGATCTGAACTTATAGAATAGAGGGAGGTGGAAACTATTTGGCGTGCCTAATACAGAACATTTTCCCCCCTTTCTCTTAGGCTATTTGGCGATTTCTTTATTTCTGCATGAAAATCATGAGTTGCTGGTTCTGCTTGTGAACACAGTGGTGAAGGTATGGTTTTGTAGGAAGCATTGCACTGACCCAAAGCTTGAGCTGTTCTTTTTTTTTTTTTTTTTACAAAAGTGCGCTTCTAAATGGTAAAAGTGCCTTTATGAATACCATTTTATTGATCAGTTAGAGCTGTAAGAAAAACATTACAAGATAGATCCAGGAAAGTGCAAAGCTGCTTCTGTTCATTAATAGGTCTTTTCAGCTTCTCTGAGTCATTGTTTATAATGGCTACATTTCATGGTCTAGCAAGACTTCCTCCGGTCTGAGTTCCTCCAGTGGATTTGCCCTGTATCTTCCACTGCCATGGCCAATGTGTAGGAGTGATGGATGTGGTCACTAGGAGTCAAAAGCAACTTGATGGCACATAATTTCTTAAGAGGCACTGATTAAGAAAGGCTGATCCTAGATGTTGTGATCATGTGGGAAGAATAGTTTAAATAAATCTTTGAATTTACATGCTTTCTCCTTCCCAGCTCCTGTTTCTGGAGGAGTTTGCTATGATTTTGTCTTACTTTCCATTAATCCTGGGTTGATCGTATCATGAGAGAGGTTCCAAACTTTAAAATTCCAGATATTTCAATGAGCTGGCTTCCTAAGCCATGATTTGAAGTTGATCTATCTTGAAAAATGACTAGAGTGTGCTTTGAACCATAATCTCTTGAGCTGACATGGTTGGCTAGGATAAAGGCAAATCAAAGCTGAATGCTTGTTAAATACTTGCCTATAGGGGAGGAAGGGGAAGCAGCACATATTTTAAGATTTGCTGGGGCTCCTTTCTCCTGAATCATGAGTTAATGTTTCGTGTGAATCAGAGCAATGAGAGCTTGTGAACATACACACATGCACATAAAAATTGTCCTCGATGCCTTTGAAGTCTTCCCTTTCATTGATAGTGGGATCTATTGAAAGCCACTTTGCCACTTACAAGAAAGCAACAACAGTATGGTTTGAATACATACAACCTTTCTTTTATCGCTGCACTGTTTTCTTTATAAACATTGCAGTTTATTTAGATTGTTCCTCAAGCATCACTCTTCCAAGTTAATAACCCATATAAACTGGCTGTACAGTTATCATAACAAGAGTTAAGCAGAATGATAACATTTACCCAGCCAGTGAAAGTATAGAGAAGTTTAACAGATGACATAAGTGATGCACGACGTTATTAATGTTGTGCATGTGCTGAGGAAAATAAAGTGCAGGAGAAACGGGGGGATACGTGTAGATGGGGAAGGAAGGGACAAGAGAGCAGGGGTAGGTGGGTTGATCAGCACGTTGCCTAGAAGAGAGGGGTGAAAAGACCCCAAATGCTGGTGGTTCCCAAGTAGCACTTCTCCGTTGCTTGAATGTGGCTCCCTGCTGTGTCTTCTGTAATATAGGAATGTATCAAAATTTGACCTTCCAGTTGCGTGAAACCTAGGAACAAACTCAGTCTCACGATGCATCTCTCGTGTCTCTTGTTCCTTCTGAGGCAACATCTAGCCAGCAGACGTCAAGCAAGATGGGGGCCGTATCTCTCCTGGTGACACTCAAGGAGCCACCTCTAGTTGCTTGACCCCATGCCCTACGTAGGACGGGGACTGCTGTCTTTTGGGTGTGGCACATTTTTCTGGGGCGTAGGAAAAAACTTATTTATGGAAAACTGTTTCTTACTATAGAAGCTGAATGGATTTGTAAGGTCCAGAATGAAAGTCATGCACCTTGGAAAGGGTATCCGTGCTCTCCATTAGGCATCGTTAACCCATTTCACAACTTTCTTCTACTCTTTGTGGCAGGACTTGCAGAGCACGAATCTCATGGAAGTGTGCATGGCTCTTACAGCAGCAAGCCAGCTTTTCCCCCAAGAGATGATTCCAGCTGTCCTCCCCCTCATAGAAGAAAAACTCCAGCATTCAAAGTACGTGTGAAGCTTGTAAGATTCTAGAAGGCTGTAGTAAATATGGAGCTCCAGATCCTCCTGGATGTAAGAGCTCACCTCAACTCAGCTCAATTTGATTCTTTTTAGGGAAATTATTCGAAGAAAAGCTGTCCAGGCACTCTATAAGTTCTACCTAATTGCTCCTAATCAAGTCCAACACATTCATGACAAGTTCCGGAGGGCGCTTTGTGACAGGGATGTGGGCGTTATGGCGGTGTCTTTGCACATCTATCTACAGATGGTGAAGGTGGGATTCTTAGAAATCTTAGACTGTTAATTTCGACAGCATGTAGTAATGACAGAAGTTTAACTGAATTTAAGCAAGAATGGCTTTCATACATACTATACATGACACAGCAAGGCAAATATAAATATTTAGAGTGATGTTTCTCAACCTTGGCAGCTTTAAGCGGTGCGGACTTCAACTCATGCTGGCTGGGGAATTCTGGGAGTTGATGTCCACACCTCTTAAAGTTGCCAAGGTTGAGAAACACTGATTTAGAGTGTTTTTTTAAAGGGAAAAAAGAACTGACTAAAGATTGGAATCAGAAACGCGAACATTTTATGTGTCTATAAATATTGTACATTAGCCAGAGTACAACAAAGGGGAAGTTAGAAAATAATATTTATCTGTAATGTTTTTAGTAACTTTTCTTTTTTCTTTCTGTATTCTTAAATAACAAATAGTGGAGATTTTGGCACTTAGCTCAGAGATTCCGGTCCTTTCTCACACTGTTAGTTTAACATTTTTTAATGTTTTTTTTCTCATCAATGATCTACTGAGCACTAACCATACAGTCTCAGTAACTGCTGTGTCCACTTACTGATATTATATTTCTGTATCAATTATTTTTTTATTTTTTTCCCCCTTTTTTCCTTTGCTTGCTCCTTTGTTCTTTTTTTTCTTCTTTTTAAATGAGTATAATTAAAAAAGAATTTTAGACTTTTTAATGTGGCTTACACGATGTAACAATAAGAATGGAAGTCTGGACTGGCTATTTGCAATGCAGTATTACAAGGTTCATTATTCTCTTCAAGGAAAACGCGGCTTGCTGTAATGGAGCAGGTGCCCAAAAATAAAATTGGGGGATGAAGGAGCAAGAGAGAAACAATTGCAATCTTATAATATTTTGGCAATCTTATCCCTGAGGTCTGATTAAATCTCATGTAATAACACTGAATTCTTGCAAGGCTTGGCAATCTTGGGAGATTTCAACCCTTTTAAAGGGTTTTTAAAAGTGGTATTTACTTCTTAAGAAGAGCGTGGGTTTTAGAGATAGCCCTTAAGGGCAAGGAACTGCTGATTTAGACAATACTTCTAAAAAGCCCCCCCCCCACCTCCAGAGATGCACATCATTTTAAGCAGGTTTTGTACTGGCTGATCACAGTGTGTTTACCTGCATGTTTCGTGTTTAATTGTCAGCTGCCTTTGGGTGTGAGAAATGGTTAGGCTTCAAGAGCTGCAGGGCAAATGGAGGTGAAATTCCTGTAATTCTTGGCTGTCAATTCAGTCTTAATTGTGTGCGTTATCTTTTGTCTAGGAAGATTCCTGGGAATACAAAGATTTGACAGGCAGCTTTGTAACAATCCTGAAGCAGGTGGTTGGAGGAAAGCTCCCTGCGGATTATAACTATCACAACGTTCCCGCCCCTTGGTTACAAATCCAGCTTTTACGAATATTGAGGCTACTTGGAAAAGATGATCCCAGGTAAATTCTCTTGGAGGTGGTTTTCAGAAATTCTTGCATGGCCGGCTAATTTAGAATTTTCAGGAGGGATACGGAAGCCGGAGGACGCTAAAGGAGGCGTCAGGATTTGAAACAAACAAGATCATGATTATTTAAAATTGTCCCGATTAATTACTTACACCACGAGGGGTCCTTCCCCAGTCTCTGCTGGAATTTGAATCACAAAGGGGTTGTTTTTGTTGGGCAAATTTATAGCCCTTCAACCTCTCTCTCTCCTTCCACCCCTGAAGTTGCTCAATTTAGGTATCAGCAAGGGAAGGTTACACTTCAATGAGGATTAAGTGTCTAGCTAGAGAGCCAGTTTGGTGTCGTGCAGTGTTTCTCAACCTTGGCAACTTTAAGATATGCGGACTTCAACTCCCAGAATTCCCCAGCCCGCACGGGGGATTCCGGGCCTGGTGGCTGGGGGAATCTTGGGGGTGGAGGCCACAAAACTTTAAAGTTTT